GCCGTTTTGTTTTTACAGTTTTCCTTATAGACCCTTTCTAATTACTCCCTAGTCACTGAACATCATTTGGAGTAAATTCCATCACTCAGAAAAGGAAGAAATATGGCACATGTGTAAATCTGCATAGAGAAGACGGTCCTATAGTGAGGGAGGCCACCAACACACCCTCAAAAACTATAAGACCGACACTTCTGAAGTCATTTAAGCAACCACAAGTCTTTATCTAGAACTTCTCTGAGAACTTGAGTGTGAAGCGTGTTCAGCTAATAACCGTGTTGCAGAGTGTTTTGTGAGCTTTGCAGGTGTGAGTTTGTTTTCTGGTCAAATTCAGTGCAACATACATTGAAAACATGAGGGACTGAGTTAGGACAGAGTTAATAAATGTCCCAGATACAGTGTGTGCCCTCAACCTTCAAAGCCTTCATTCCAATAGAAAGCTCTGGTTCAGCTTTTCGAGCTCATTACTATAGATTCTACTGGTGTCCAGCTGTTGTCTGATTGGTCCATAATTCATTAATTATCTCAGAGGTAGAAGCTGAATTCAAACTGGCAAATGATGAATTCATGATGGCACTAAGTCTTCACGTGAAAATGATCATAGCAAATCAACAACAACACAAGCTGTCTCTGGTAAAAGCTGCCTCACACACTGGGAGAAGCTTCTGAGCTTCACCTGCGTCACGTCAGACAGAACAAGAGAATCACCTTGCCTTCAAATAATAGCAAGACAGGCGCAGCACACATGGACCGATGCTGATAGGTGCACAAAAGTTACAGTAAAAAGGAAGCAAAGTCAACATTAAACCATGAAATACCAGAATCCAGAGTTTGTGCTCCATTGCTGTTCTCAGGAGACACAACTTACCGCTATAATGACAGTTTTATTTTGAAATCTCTGAGCTGTTTATGTTGACAGGAATGATGATAAAGTGGGCGATACTCACTGTGTATCTCCTGAAGTCCGGCCTCCGTCCCCGAGCTGTGTTCCAGTACTGTGAGTACATCTCAGTTAATAAAGCCTCTGATCCACTTTTAATAAACACACTGATTATCTGATGAACTCTCCGACTCCCCACTGACTCTCCTTCATTTGAGATGCAGCTTCTCTGTCAGCCTCTGATGAAATCTCTGCTTTCAATACAGCCAGAATAAAGGAGAAGCTGAGTGTGTGTGTGTGTGTGTGTGTGTGTGTGTGTGTGGACTATGGGAGGAGAATGATGTCGTTGAAGCGTGAACTTTCAGACGGCAGGACGGGAAAGTGAAGCCTCAGATGAGATCCACTGCTCTGACACCGAGTTACGTAACTGCTGTGTGTAGTCACTGTTCAGAAACACGATTACAACGATTACACGGGGCTAATTAGTGAATATCAGGAGGTTGGCGGATCTGTTGAAACACCGATGGTGGCTGGACGAGTGAGCCGGCCGTGGCATTTAAATGAAACTGCCAAATCAAGGCAGTGGGAGCAGCAACAGGAGTTTAAATTGAACAAATAGAGCGTAGACATGAGTCAGGCTCTCTGCTGAACAATCGATTTGTAAAACAATGCAAGTAGCAAATTGCAAAGGCTGCAATTTAGGATATATGTCAGGCAGCATGTCTGACACAGGGTTTAAACTGTTGTGTCAGTAGTTTTACAAATTCACATCTTCCAGGCTCCAGCAGAAGCCACCAGGCCCAGCAGCCAGTGGGCCCAGAAGCCACTGGGCCCAGCAGCCAGAGGGCCCAGAAGCCACCAGGCCCAGCAGCCAGCAGGCCCAGCAGCCAGCGGGCCCAGTAGCCAGTGGGCCCAGAAGCACCAGGCCCAGAAGCCACTGGGCCCAGAAGCCACCGGGCCCAGCAGCCACCGGGCCCAGCAGCCAGTGGGCCCAGCAGCCACCGGGCCCAGCAGCCACCAGGCCCAGCAGCCAGTGGGCCCAGCAGCCA